AGTCTGCCAAAAAAGCATATACACATCAGGAAAATAAAAACTTGTAAAAATATTTTAATACTTAATTTATTAAGACATTATGAGATTAATATAAATTACCTTTGGCCTTTACATTAGAAGACGTGCAAAGTTGTAGCCATTAGTTTCTGGACATTTATTTATATATTGCTGCTTGGATAGCCTTAATCATTGAGATTGCTGCACAAGCATTTTCAATTTCTTCTCTAGAGGCCTGCAATATAAGTGGGTTTTCTGAGACATACAACATCCTCTAGGGTCCCCCATGTGAGAGTAACACCATCTATTGAAAAAACATCATACTATTTCTTTTCTTTCCTCGTGTGTGTGTGTGTGTGTGTGTGTGTATTTTTTTTAATGGAGTGTGTGTGTGTTAATGCTTTGAACAAAATTTGAAAGAAGAAATGCGTTTTCTTGATTACCCCCCTCCATACACACACACACACACACACACACACACACACACACACACACTACTGGGGATTAAACCCAGAACCTTTGCTTGCACTCTGCTGCATCTCAAGCCCCATTTTTAAAATGTTTTATTTTCTGAGACAGCGTTTTGCTAAGTTGCCCCAGGCTTGGCTCAGATTTGCAGTCCTCCTGCCTCAGTTTCCCAAAGTGCTAGAATTATAGGCATATACCACAACACTCAGCTGTAAGTTTTCCTTTTAATAGCAAGTTGTAATGATGTCTGTGACATATATAAAACTTATCCCAAAGTGGGTCAAAGACAAATGTAAGAGCTATAACTATATAAAACTCAGAAGAAAACAGGAGTTAATATTTGTTTCCTTGTATAGTTTTCTGAGATAAGGCACCAAAAGCTTAGGTGCCCCCTCCCAAAAGAACATAAATTGGACTTTGTCAGAATTTAAATTTTTTAGGGCTGGGGATTTAGCTCAGTGGTTCTGCTACCTGCCTTACAAGCACAAGGACCCGAGTTCAATCCCCAGTACCAAAAAAAAATTTTTTTTTTTTTTTTTTTTTTTTTTGCTTGAAAGGACACCATTGAGAAAAACAACCTTCCACAGAATGGGAGAAAATATTCATAAATCACTTATCTGATCTGATAAGGAGCTTGTAATACAGAATAAACCACTCAGAATTCAATAGTAAAAAGACCACTTTGGAAATGGGCAAAAGATCTGAATAGACATGTCTCCACAGAATATATAATAAATGACCAGTATAACATGAAATTATGCTTAACATCATTAGCCTTTAGGAAATTGTAAATGAGATATAACTTCAGAAAGATGGACAGTAACAAATGTTGGTGAGAACATAGAGAAAGAGGAACTCCCCTGCATTACTGATGGAAATGTGAAGGCTTAAATAAAACCTCTTGGGAAATTATACTGACAGTTAAGCATATAGTTACTTTGTAATCCAACAATTCCACTTCTAGGTTTATACCCAAGAGAGTTGAATATATACATTAACACAAAAATGTACATTAATATTCATAGCAGCATTCATTATTCATGATAGCCAAAAGGTAGAAAAAAAACAAATGTCCATCAGCTAATGTATAAAACCTATACTTATAAAATGGTATAAGTGGTATATTTATAAAATGCAATATTCAGCTATAAAGAATATAGTATTAATACATGCCATAACATGGGTGAACTTTGAAGAAATATGTAATGAAAAAAATTCCAGACAAAAGGCTATATACTATATATAATATTCAAAATGTACCAATCCATAGAAACAGAAAAGAGATTGATACTTTCCATGGTCAAAGGAATGGGGAATGGGGAATAACTACTAATGTGTATGGGGTTTATTTTGGGAATAATGAAAATATTCTGGAATTAGTGTTAATCAGTGCACAGCTCAGTATTTATGTATATTTTTAAAGGCCAGCCTTGTAGCATGTATATTATATCAGTTCAAAAAAAAACTTGTTCAGAAAACTAAATTAGAAAAAAAGAAATAATGCTGAATCATTTCTCTTTTTGGGATGTAGCTTCGAGCAAATGCCCTCATCAAAAGAGGCAGCATGTACATGCAACAGCAGCAGCCTTTGCTGTCTACTCAGGATTTTAACATGGCTGCTGACATTGATCCTCAGAATGCAGATGTTTATCACCACCGAGGACAGGTAAGTCAGTTTGTTTTGTTTTGTTTTTTCTGCTTTTTGGTACCAGGGATCGAGCTCAGGCCCTTGCACTTGCAAAGCTGGTGGCGGAACCACTGAGCCAAATCCCTGGCCCACGTAAGTCAACTTTTATACCTAGAATTCTGATGTATGGATTGAGCTATTTGATGACCGTTTTTGTACTTTCTTCTTTTCTTATATCATTTCATATATCATAGTTTATAGTTTGGATTGGCCTTTGTTTAGTTCTGCTTTGAACATTTGTCTTCACAACTTTGATACTTAGGGAAAAAGAAGCAAAAAAATGTTGCTTTCCAGTTTGTGTTTCAGGTATCCTGGTTCATAGGTTTTTCAGTTGGTAAAAATAACAGTAAGCATTTTGAATTTATGTCAGAATCAATAGGATGATTTTTCTGGGCTGGGTTGGTGGTGTTTTAATTTGGAGACAAGGTCTTGCTATGTAGTTCAACCTGGCCTTGAACTTGGCCTCAAACTGTTAGCCATCCTTCTGCCTCGGCCTCCTAAGTGCTAGGATTAGAGGCATGTACCGCATTACCTGGCTGAACTTCATACTGTAAGGAAATACTAGCCTGGACTCCAAGTAGTAAAGGCGAAAAAAAACTCAGGCCAGCGATTTAGCTCAGTGATTCCACCACTCTAAATTAAAAATAAAAAATAAAAAATGCTGACAAGGTAGCCTGCCTTGCAAGTACACGGACCCAAGTTTAATCCCGGGTACCAAAGAAAAAAAAAACTCCTCTGAATGTAGTTTTATGATAGGCATATTAGGGTTTTTTGTAAGAAAAATATATAAAGAAGAAATTTCTCAATTATAGCATCACATGGAAAAATACGACTAATTTGCTTAACATGGCTTTTAGAATGCATTGTAGGAGAAAGTCTGGGCTATCCATATAACAGTAAACCTGAAGTTCTTTCTATTTTGGTACCAGGGATTGAACTCTGGTCTTTGCGCTTGCTAGGCAGGCCACCAAACCACTGAGCTAAATCCGCAGCCCTGAAGTTCTTTCTAATAGAGAATTTTACCTACTAATTTCTCTTCTTAGAGGATAGTGTTGAGATAACCTCTCAAATTTCTTGACATTTTCATCTTTACTGGTAGTGTGTTAAAAGTAATTTGAACCAGGCATAGTAGTGTATGCCTGTAATCCCGGCACTCAGGAGGCTGAGGCAGGAGGAACATTGAGAGTTTGAGGCAAGCCAGAACTATATAACTGGACTCTGTCTGAAAAAGAAAAATTGAAAAATAATTATCTGTTATCAGCTCTGCTTTGAAATTAAATAGTAGAGAATTGTTTCATTTTCTAGAAAAAGTTTCTTCCTTAATAATCAAAATTACAGAGGAAAAAATGGCAGATTTATATTGCCCTTTTTAAAGAAATGGACACCAATTTCACATTCCACGATATTTCCTTTAAAATTATAGGATTTTCGGGCTGGGGATTTAAGCTCAGTGGTTCTGCTGCCTGCCTTGTAAGCTCAAGGTCCTGAGTTTGATCCCCAGTACCAAAAAATATATATTTATATAGGATTTTCTAGTTCTTTGTTTCTATAAAGAAGTTCTTTTGTTACATACTGAGCATTAGCTGTAACAGAAGAAACATGACACATACTTAACTAGTGAATTTATTTTGAATTACATTTACTTATATGCGGGTATTTGTTTTTGTTCTTGTTTTTTTTCCTTAGCTGAAAATACTGCTTGATCAAGTTGAAGAAGCAGTGACAGACTTCGATGAATGTATTAGATTGCGGCCTGAGTCTGCTCTGGCGCAAGCTCAGAAATGTTTTGCATTGGTAGGTATTTCTGTCTTTTATAAGTCCTAAACATCAGTTTTGTTTCCCAGTATCAACAAAGATGCATATCATGGTCTATCTCGTCAGCTGTTTTCCCCAAACACATGACTACAGGGCGTACATGTTAGCATGTAATGTTAATATTAGCTCTTACATTTCTCTGGATATTTGATTTCATACTAATAAATCTTTGTCCCTAAGTTTACACTCCTCTAAACAGAACTAGCCTCCCTACTTCTCTACAATAAATCTGAACAGAAATTCAAACAGTTTATAATCATGATACCACATAACTGCTCTTTTATCTCTTCTTTATAGAGTTGTTTCTTTTTTTCTTCTTCTTCTTCTTCTTCTTTTTTGGTACCGGGGATCGAACTTGGGTCCTTGCGCTTCTGAGGCAGGTAGTGGAACTACTGAGCTAAATCCCGAGCCCCAAGAGTTGTTTCTTATTATTCAAAAACACAAAGCTAAAAAAGTACAGTAAGTCCATTTCAAGTAAAATTAAGTACTTCCAGTTACCCTATACCCAGATTCCTGAAAAGACTTTACTGTTTTCCTTTTCTACTAGGAGACTGAGGCAGGAGGATCATAAGTTCATGGCAACTTGACAAGTCTGTGCCTCAAAATTAAAAAATAAAAATTACATTCTGGTAATGTAGCTGAGTAGAGCACCCCTGGACTTGATAATACTGCCAAATGTGTATGTATACGTGTATGTATACAAATACATGTAAATACACACACACACACACACACACACACACACACACATACTTTTGTTTGTTTGTTTGTTTTGAGACAGGGTCTCACTTTGTAGTTGAGACTGGCCTGGAACTCAGTGATCCTCCTGCCTCAGCCTCCTGAGTGCTGGGATTACAGGCGTGCGCCACCACATCCGGCGCTATATATATACTTCTGTTTGTCTGTTTGTTTTGTTTTTGTTTGGGGGTGGGTTTTTTTGGG